AAACACAAGATATTACTCTAACATTTTATATTTGTGATATAGCCACATAAATGACAGCATCAACTTTTCCACTTTTAGAAATCTTTAATAGGGATACGTACACAAGTCAATAAATCGTAGCAGTCATATATGTACTTATTGTAGTTTGAGATCAACGATTATAGACAATAGACAATAGCAAAATTCATATAAGTTGGTAACAATATATGTTTTTACCGCAAGGTTTCACCTTAGTATGAAAATTCACAGAATCCACTGAACGTAATAACTAAAATGACAACCGATACGCGTCCTTATATATCTAACAGTGTTGCCGGATTTTTGGAAGCTTTTTCAATATTGTTCATATAAGGAAACCAGTCAGTTCGGACAACCTCAAATTCTACTGGCATTTTCGATCAATTTATAAAAACGTTAAAAAAATTGGACAAAGTGTGAACAGTGGCGGCTCATCAAAACAAAAACAAGAAAATCACCTCATGCTTTCAAATGAAACAGACTTTCGTCAGTCCCCTCGATACTGAAATATGACGCCTAATGCAAATAATTTTGGATTGTCAGTACGTCAAGGATACGTCGGTGTGACCGGATTTTTTGTTGGTCATTTTGAATTTAGTCTACGAGAAAATGAGATAAAATAAGTGGAAGTGAAACTCATTTGGAATTTAGTAATTATGAATCTTCTACGAGTCGCCGCTGCCTTGTGACCAAATATATTTTTCCTTTTGGTAACTGAAAAAAGAATAAGTGTTGCTTCTTCAAGGTTTATCCAGAAATGCAAATCGTATGATATTTAAGAATAAAAATGTACAATATACAAAAACACCCACCTTAATGTCTTTCCAAAGGCAAGATTCAAGTCCACAAAGTATTTTAGGGTTCATAGAAGCAACAAAAAAAGTCTAATAGATAACGCATGAGATAGTTTTGCGCTATTATTAAGTGTATATTTCGTTCATTCCAAGAAAACTTTTATGACGTCATTTGTATCTACAAGCATCACGTCAACTTAGTGACGTTAGCGTTCAGTTTTGTTTAGTACTATGCTTTGTTATTTTTTGCTGATATGCTGAACTTTCTATGTATACTAAAGCAATCAAAATGCTAACTCTAAATAAATTCCTATGTTGTGTCGCCATGCCGATTCTGTGACGTCATTGATATCTTCTTGGAATAAAGGCGCTTCATTAGCTATTTGGATGCACCAATTACGAATTTTATCTTGAAAATGCTTTTTCCAAATACAAAATAGTTTTTTAAAACAGAACGCGAAATCTCGTGACTGTTAAAAGGAAACCGCACATGCTTATTCATATGGAAGTAAATTATACATTAATACTGCAGACTTTCACGATATTATGGTTACACGAGATAACGCAATGGAAGCATCAAAACTATGCTACAAAAGCTCAACTGAAGGCGCCAACAGAAGTTGAAAAAATAAACAATATTTCCACTTTTAACACACGAAATGGAAAGACTGCATCAAATATCCGCATTTTCATAATGGGCTACTTGACTCATACCTAAGTGCGTATTACTTACAGTTTTGCCTTTGGAAAACAAAATATACCGATTTGAATTATTAAAAGCGCAAGATGAATATACAGCTCCGATTTAGTGAGGTGTATTTTTCATTTTTAATACGAAACTGTGAATACACTATTGGCCGTGATGTGACGTCATACAAATTGTAAACAAAGAAACGTCATCCGTATGTCACTCGTGGATTAAAGTTGTCTTCTTTAAATATGTCTAAAGAACTCCTAAACGTAAAAAGTTATCGTTCGAATCGTAAAAGCAGAAAGCGGAAAAATTGCCCACTGATAGTTGACTTCTATGTAAGTACGGTGCATCTAATCAGAAGAAAGGATAATACGTAATCTTTCTCATAAATCATAATAATTTTATCTAATATTGAATTTCTTCTGACACACCTGCAATGGAATCGTAAGGTGACTATGCCGTAGGTAGTAAAATGTAAAATATGTCCTGAACATAAGGTATCCTCCAAGCAATACACAGTAATATTTTGTATATCAATTTCCCTATGCACTCTAATCCATATTACCAAATTTTTCATGTAAATTAGTAGTCACGTTTTTATTTTTTCAGAAGTTCCGCTGCTGTTTACAAACGATATGACGTCAGAAAATACATTAATAAATATGTGCCAAAAATGGGGGACAGCGTTTTCGCCTGCCCGAGAAAAATATATTTTCAAATTAAAGTTTGACGGTCTTTTACGTATAGTATTAATTTTTTGGTTTAAAAGAGCAAATATTAACTATTTAATTTTACTTAATAAAAGTGTCAAATAGCCTATTGATCAAATCTAAAATTCCATAGTTCTTGGGAAAATACTTCATGACTATTTTGAAAAATTCACACGTATTTTCAACTTCTATTTATTCGTCCTTAAATCAATAAAAACGGATCAGGTACAAAAAATTAAATACCTTGGGTACACCATACACAACCATGTCGTTCGCATCATGGCACTTCAGTTTCTCTTCATTTCTTATGGTATCAGTGATATATCTACGTATCTTATTAGAAATATATTAAATAATTATTATACAAAGCTTGTGAGAAAATGAATCACTGTAGCAAAGTTTCATATATATTACATGCCTATGTGGTGTTATGTGGTTTTACAGCTTAATATTAGGTTATACCATAACTAGCAATATTAAAAGATAATTCCAAAAGAAGAATTAAAATTGATGTTTATTAAGTAATTTGTAATTTTTATTATCTGATATTGTTCGAATAAAATACGATAATCGGTAAAATGTTAGTTCATCTAGTTCTAGTAATAGAAACATGTATTATAGTAAAATCGATTTAAAATAGAATAACCGGCAACAGCAGTTAAGTTCGGTTCACTGCATGAAATGTTTGTTTTGTATGAAAACTAACTATAGCTAGTTTGTATATTATATACACAAGTCAATAATAAATATATAAAGAACTTATTTTGACTTTCTTGGTTTCCATCAAGTTATTTGTAAGAAAGAAACATGAAGACAATTCCTGTATAACCACAAGTACAACAATCAAATAATTTACAAAATCTAAATAATAATAAAAGTCTCATATTGGAATATATGCCAAACTATAACTTTCTATTGCCAGGTATACATTTTTCTATCTTATATTAATATAAGGCATTTCTGTAGCCTTTAAGTTGTAATTGATATCTCGTAAGCGTTTAGATCTAGTAGTCATGGTGTCAATGATTGCAGCGGAACTCAGTTCAGGTCTGGAATGAATGTAATAACATGTTTTCAAGATTAATTAATTTTATGATCTGTATTGCAGAACACACATAAAATTGATATAACTATATTTGGAGAACCAACTTCCGCCCCATGACTATTGTGATCACACAACCTTAGATTTGCTGCAGATTTGAATAAGTCTTAGAGAAGTACCAGTAAATATAATTAGTACAATATTGCAACATTGTCAAATGTTTATAACACTGAATTGTAATTGATATAAAATATTTTAACGCAAATGTTAATTCTGCTGCTGCCTTGAAGAAATCTCAGAGAAGTACCAGTTAATGTGATATAGCACAACCCTCTCAGCACACAAACGTTTTTCAAACGTCTTTCAAGCTTTCGGATCTCAAAATGCATCCCTCAGGACATTTAAGGCCTACGGTTTAAACATCCTTCCACGAGTTTACACTAGCCATACACCCAGTGGCGTAGCACTCACCTGGTGACTCAACTTTAAGAACCATGTACAAACATAAAAAAATCTCAGATTGCATTGCAAAGTAAAGGCTTAACTGTTGACGAAACTGTTGACCAGTGATGCAGGACTAACACTGAAAGAACTTCAAAAATATATGTTGGAATGTCTTAACCGATTCAGAGTTAAACTCCAGAGAAAATCGAAGTCTCTTCATTGTTCGAGATCGTAGTAAGAAATACTTTGCTTTTGGCGAATACTGAAGAACTGAAATTAGCATTAGCATCCAAGTTTACAGATTTTTATGATGAGGTCTCAGAAACAGAATTTTGGAGATACCAAGACTGCGAAGACATTTAAAAGCCACTAATGTTACAGTTTCTGATAGGGTATCTCTAGATTTTTTAAAGTTTATTGTAGAATGGGATTCTACAGAATCTTATGACTGCACTAAAATTGTTCATGAAGGTTTGCGTATCATGTGAAAGGAGTTTCAGTAAACTAAAATTAATAAAAAACTATTTGCGGGCAACAATGAGCCAATCGCGGGTTAGCAATCTTGGCATATTCGAACACGAGGCAATACAAAATATAAATTTTGACGAAGTTATTTATGAGTTTCCAGCTGTCAAAGCTAGAAAGAAGAGATTTTAATTGTAAGATAAAAGTATTGTTTCTGTCTTAGTTTTTATTGTGTTTTGTTCACTATTTTAAATATAACATTGACATCGGACACCTGACAGTTATTGGACATTGCTGTTTCAAAACCGAATACTAAGAGTTCTGTATGGCGTATTTTGTTCAGTACTCGACAGATGGTATCTCTATAATATACGTGAACAGATTTCTATTCGATTGCGCATACTTCCACGCCGTTGCTGTGATTATGGCGGGAAAATTTTATAGGTTATGGTCTTGACTCTGAAGCTAAAGTTTGTGTTCAGGTATCGACAAAAAATTCTACATTTGTTCTCAAGGTAAGCTCGTACTGATATTTGTTGTCAAGCTTTAGATTGCATCGAAAACAAGTTTGAGTTGATAATTTCAGAAATATGTTCTGTCCAATCACTCATAATTTTTTTCAACTAATTTCGGTTATTGGGCATCTGTCCAATCACTAAAAAATGTTAAGTTGTTCTGTGTTCACTCGATTCAGTGAATCTTTATACAAGAAGGGATATTTTTCTATTTATATTAAATTGGAAATAGATTTGATAGTTATTGGACAACTGTCCAATAGCTAAACTTGACCGTCCAGTAGCCGAGTTCGGGTCTCTAATATTTGGTCTACATTTTAGGAACTAGCAATATGCCGAAATTAAGGCAATACAAGTCGAAACTTGAATACGCTCTCAGAGACATACAGAACTGGCACAGAATCTTACCGAACAGCCAAAAAAAGTACGGAATTCCGAAATCCACTTTAGAATTTAAAATGAAACATCTCGGTCATAAAGAATAAGCTTGGGTCCATCGCCAATTTTAACAAGTGAAGAAGAGGCTTTGTTAGTTAGGTAATTTGTATTTTATTATATAAATATGTTGAGTGATTTAGGCTATACAACTTATATATATATATATATATAATTTGAGAAATGCCTGTCTAATAACAGGAGACTAATTTTATAAATATTTATCTGCAGTTGGATAAAAGATAATGCTGCAAAGGGATTTCCAAGAAGGGCCAACGATTTGAGAATAGCGTACAAAGATTTTTGACTGTTAATCCGCGTCCACACAAATTCAATGATAAACCGACCTGGAGATGGGCGGGTTTAGGCACAGCCGACGTCAACTACGAGCCGTGAACAAAGAAATCTGGCAACGTAGTGTTACTCCCGCCGCTGCTTGCTGCATCGACGCAACTCGTGCTCAAAACGCTGAGAAAACATAACCTTTTCAATTTGTGATTTGGGAATCCCAGAGGCTGTAATTAAGAGATAAGCTTGTTTTCTAAGCTTCAAAGTGTGTGTATGTATTCAAAGTGATCGGTGACTATAATATATGAGAAATAGACTCCAGTTGTAGTGCTTCTGTGCTTTAAAAATAGTAGTTGACGTCGGCTGTGGTTCAGGTATCCCAGCAAATAAGTAATGTATAATTCGTTACTACTTATAGATATTTTCAACGTTACAGGGATTCTTGAAAAGGCATCCCGATATCTCTAAAAGAACAGCTGAAGGGGTTACTTCGTTACTTCTCAGAACAGGACATCAGAAACTGGTTTATCAATATCCATGACTACCTCAAGCAAAAAAATCTAGAAGATGTGCTTGAAGATCCTTCAAGGATTTTTAATGCTGACGAGTCAGGATTTGAGATTTGTCCTTCCACTGGGAAGGTGTTTGCAGCAAAAGGGACAAGAAATGTGTATTCTGTAGAACGCGGTTCTTCGAAAGAAAACATCACCGTGCTGTTTACTTTCTCAGCAGATGGTACGACTTGCGTGCCAATGGTAGTTTTCCCTTATCAACGCCTTCCTGAAAAAATAACTAAAGGTATTAATCCTAAGTGGGGCGTAGGAAGAAGCGACAAAGGATGGATGACATCCGAAACATTTCATCAATATATAGCAAATGTTTTCTATGCCCATCTGAAGGAAAATGCCATCAAATTACCAGTGATCCTCCTTCTCGACGGTCCTAAGAGTCACCTGAATTATCATCCGAGCATTCTATGTAATTAACTACAAATTGAAATCATTTCACTGTATCCTAACGCTACAAGGATTTTGCAACCCTGTGATGTATCCATTTTCCAACCAATCAAAGAAGCTTGGCGTCAGTCAGTACGAAAGTGGGAAGAAGAACATCCGGGGCAAATAGTGAACAAAGTCGTTTTTGCTGGTATTCTAGAAAATGCTGTTAATCAAAGCAGAAACAGTTGTAAACGGGTTTAAAGTCTGCGGTTTGTATCATTTCAATCCAGATAACGTCGACTATACAAAGTGTCTAGGAGTGGGAACCATGCAGCAACCAAATATTGGTGTAGAAAATCTTACTAATACCTACGACAAGTTCGCAACAATAGTTGGTCCCGAAAAAATCTAAATGTTCCAAAATATTGATAGAAGACTTTGAGATTCTTCCGAAACGGTGATACAATATCTACGGATATCACATAGCCAAAAAATAAAATTATTATTGTACAAAATATAATTATAATTTCCCCAACAAAAAATCCTTCACTTGCTTCAAATTCTAGTGAAACTGAACATACCGCAACCATTAGTCAACCGAGTACCAGCAAAGCTACCGTCAACGTAATGTGTAAGCAAATAATTCCTCCCAACCGAGTCGTAGTTACAAACAATTTGTTAGGAAGCTTCCTAGAGTCACCTTCTGCACCTGCAAGGAAGGGTAAACGAAACATAGAGAAATTCCCTTTCGCTATAACATCTGAGCGATATCACGAAAAAATAAGAATTAAAGTAGTAGTAGTAGTAGAAAGATTTATTTAGCACATTTGGCTACATAAACAGAACAATTGTAAACAACTTAGAACTAGTAAATTCAAGCCATATGGTGTATGATGTAAATGCTGGACAACCTATAATTGTAGATTTAACAAGTGATTTCTCAATTTTAAAGAAACAGGAGGAAGACGGGAAGGAAAATAGAAAAAGGAAGAAGCAGGAAAAACGAAACGAAAAACAAGGTAAAGGTAAGAATTCACAAACAACAACACAGTGCTCTGCCTGCCTAAAGGGCATCAGATCTGGTGAACTACAATGTGATGACTGAAAACGAACATAACATACCTAGCGATGACGATCTATACATATGTCATAACTGCTACAGATTGAGTGATAGTGACGAGGATTGTGAAGATATTGATGATCAGGAAGTCGATGAATTATACGACCAATATAATCAGGCAAAAAAGCATTTTACAAATGATTATACCACATTATACAGGGTGACTTTGAAGTTGAGTCATTAATTTTCAGATAATGATTGTAGAAGGAAGATAAACCAAAATATGTGTGTAAAAATAAAAAAATAAATAAAAAAAAATTTTACCTTGTTTAATAAAGTATCGTCCCGACAAGTATTTCAGTACGGACCTGTATTTGATCGTGTGGTCTTGGAGCAGCATGCCCTGACCTGTGAGGTCTTAAGTCACCTGATTCACGAGCCCTTTGTACTACATTAACAAAGGCACGAGGGGTTGGTTGCACTCGATTGGGAAACCGATTCACATAAATCCGTGATGCATCCGGGAGCATTTTGTAAATACTGCCCCCCCGTAAATAAGAATCATGTCCACAAGTTCAGCATTTTCGTAAACATGTGCCATTTTTGATTTCGTTTGAGCCACGCAACAAACACACATACAAACACAAACACAAACACTAACGCGACTGACGAAAAACATCGTGATAAACGTTTCAAATTCTTTCGCTTTTTTGTTTCCGATGCGAAGAACAGGTCAGGCGGATTATATCCGTTGTCGCCAAACACGAACATATTATTATTGAGACAGGGCGGCACTCAAACTTCCAAAGGGCTATAACTTTGTTACTTTAATTTTACCAGAAAAATGGTACAGGAAAAAAACATTTCTTTTGATCAGATCTACTCACTGTTAAAATAAATGACTCAACTTCGAAGTCACCCTGTATAAGACCCGTCCAATAACTGAATTTTCAGTTACTATTCACAAACAAGGCTACTTTGGCATGTATGGTCAGCTTAAACTCAGGCCAGAATTCGCACATCATAAGCGTTGTTATGGTGTTTTGTGAAAATCACTGAATGAATTTGACAGTTGCCAGTCAAAACCAACACAAACTTACCATTAATAGCTGCGTTATATAAAAGGCGACATTAATTCTTAACTTACTGCTACCTAAGAATTTAGCAAATTCCTGGACTACGAGGTCTGTAAATTAAGTGATGAGATTGGCAACGTAGCGTTCGATCTGGCACCACTGAAGACGAGAAATCAAGAAAAAAAATATCACCGACGCAAATTGTAGATTATCAAGAACCTAAAATATGGTTTTTGCCTACCAGATGCTTGTTCGTGGTATGCATCCATTTGAGCAATAACGTCATATACAAAACATACTTATACCCCTAAAAAATCCATTTTGGCGGCTACCATTGCCACTTGCTTATCAATACCTAATCGTAGATTACACTTTAAAAAAAAATCATCAACGTACGAGTTGTATTTATTAAAATAAAAAATTGCTAAACCATAAAAATTCACAGTGGCTCCTTATTCGCCTTACTTGAGTCCTTGAGACTTCTTTCTCTTCACGAAGTTGAAAAATCATCTCGAAGGAACTCGTTTTGTGACAGCCGAAAACATTCAAACGGCTGTAACCGACCACCTGAAGGCTACAAGGAGTGGAAGAACCGTCTCCAGCGCTGTACCTTTAGAAGGAAGATATTTTGAGGTTGAAAAAATAAAACTGTAATTATATATGAATAAAAAAATTTAAGAAATCAGCCTCATCACTTAATTTACAGAGCTCGTATATTTAACATTTCTGAAGCTGAATAGAAAACCTTACACGTTATCATCGCAATGAAGAAAACGTTCGACCAATTGACATTATGTTTTTCTGAGTGATTGGATTCGATAACACTTTAAACAAACGTTTGTGTGCTAGCAGAGTACGAATCCTATATTGAGCAACGTACATTCAGAGATCTCCCTCATTAGCTGCTGATTGCTGGGAAGAGTTAATATAAAATAATAGTATTTCTTCATCTCTGAAGATATGTTGCTCAATCAACGCATACATAAGTAAAAATATCTTTTGTTCGGAATAAATCAATCTATTTACGAAGGCAACAATCTTACCTCACAAGATTCTAGAACAGACCACCATCAAACTACGAACCACAAACTATACCGACCTTCTTCCACGCCAACGCTACAACAAACCGCTCAGAACACCGACCGTCCACGTACAATTGGCAACACTGCGGCTTACGTCAACGTGGCAGCACTGCTATTGCCGCAAGGCAACAACTTGATTTGCTGGTCGCCCTCCGCGTATCTTTGTCACTTTCCTCTGACACTCTTTTTCTTCTTCCGTTTGAAGAACCCGCAGCATTTTGTCTCATCTACGAACTCTACCTCATGAGGTTGAGTGATGGGAGTGTTACTTTGAGCCGCCGTGGGGTCGTCTGCGTTCAGGTCACCGTTGGTCGAGCTGACTACTTGCACCGAGCCATGTCGATCGCCTGGAGTCAGGTTTCCTGAAGAGGAAGATTGTCAAGGAATATGCAATATCGAAATGGAGTGACTTTTTCGCTCTGGTAAAGGTTGATGAGTTGACCTTTGTAAAAGTTAAATAGGCGGTCCAATCCACATGACAACCAATATGGCGACTGTTGGTTAGTAAGCTGAACCATCAAAAGAAACATGATGTGCGAACGAGCTCGGAGAAAAGCAAGCTAAAAAATAGATGAAAACACAGTTTCAACAGACTTACGAGTACTAGTTTTAGATATAACTGGGCCCTTATCCACAACTTGCATTGCTTTCTCTAGCCCTGTCAGGAAGCCTACGTCTTTATGATGTCGAAGTGTGGTGAACTTTCGCTCAAGTTTGTCATCTGTCGAATAAACGACGTCGCATTAACGCTATTTCCAATTAACATCATTTGAAATGACGTTGTACCTACGGCGAACACTTTTTCTTATTATTACCATTATACCGATATATGTCGCTACTTACAACTCTTTTTGAATCAGTAAAGAGGCTAGCTTGCAATGTAGCGTTACAAGGTCATTTTCGATATATCACGATTACACATATTTGTTCAGAGTAATTTTCTTTCCCCGGGTCACAGACTAACTCAAGGCCGCCTATCAGTTGGCAGTAGGGACAAGGTCATCAAAAACTGTACACGAAGTTGATCCTGTATTGGTAACGCCCACGGGCACAACTATAACAGTGTACAATTTCGATAAAAACTATCTAACAATACTACCAAACGCTACTGGGACAAGGCCTAAAACTGGGATCTCCAGGTAATATCGCAACAATAATTCAGGCTCAAGTATCAAAAAATTATATCGGTTCGACGAAGCAAATGTACAATGGCTTGCGGACAGATTTTTAGTTGAGAATTAGGAAACTCGAGGAGGAGCACTTTCATGTATTCATCAAATGAAGATATGTCTACGCTATCTCGGTGACCCTGGATATCAACAAGGTATTGGTCAGGAACTTAGTCAAGCAACGGTATCTCGGACTGTGGATAGAGTTGTGAACAGCATAGTTGCGCAGTGGAACGAATGGATCAAGTTTCCAACTACCAACCATGAACTGATGGAGGCACCTCTAATTTTCCCAATTGTAGGATTACAGTCACCTTCCATAGCTTTCAGCAACTTTCTTTCCCAATCTAACAATTTAATTGCTTTATTACCAGTTTTTTTAGATCTGTTTTTTTCTTCAATCTTTATTTCATGTTGTTGATTTTTTTTTAATAAGCCTTTAGTGTTTAATGGTTTACCGAATGTTGATTCGTATTTTTCCAACATCTTCTTCAAGGCATCGTCCTTTCTAATTTTTATTTTTGGAACTTGTGACTTTTGCAAAATAATGGGAGCAATGGCAATTTCATCTGCGATGAACTGCAGGTCGTTGCCATTATTTTCTATAGTTTCCTCATCACTTGAGGATGACATGCTTATTAATTTGATAAAAAACTGTATCCAGTAAAAATACGGAGCGGTCTGTGTAAGCTCTGGAGTACCACTGTCAGTGATGTTGAGTGAACGAACTCCCATGTCAACTACAAGCTGGAACAAGTCAGGACATGTCGCTCAAGATACAAATACCAGTCAACCTTTTACTTCTTCTTGGAGGATATCCTCGCGAGTATAAGGTAATCATTATGAATATGAAAACAAGGATATGCTTATACTTCTACCTTTTTCTCCGAAGCAAGAGCTTATACTTGTACCTTTTGCTTCCGAGGAAGGCAATAAGGGCCATAGTGGGTCTCCTGACAGGAAACTGTCATCTAAATCGACATATCAGTGCTCTCTGGCAAAAGACGCCATATGCCTTTTCTGCAGAGAGCATGAGGACACCCCAGTGCATCTTCTGTGTCACAGCGAAAGACTAGCAAGGCTAGGGCTTCAGATACTGGGAACTTCAACTGCAACGGCGGGCAGCTACCTGAAAGGCCCTGTTTCAAGGCTATGGAGTCTGATTAAAGGATCAAGGCTGGACACAGTACTTGAGCAAGTGAATATGTGGGACATAAAAGATTCATTTGGGCCGCAGTGACGCCGAGACTAGCAAGTCAACCCCTCTCTTTTGTAATCAGTGCTATTTATATTTTAGATAGAACATGTTGTCATCAATATGACAACAATCCTATTTGCTGGGAAGCCATGTGAAGTAGAATACAAAAAACGAAATGTTTCAGAACATTTTCAAAATGTAAATTTTAGTATCATTTTGATATAAAATTCCTTTATTAACATATGCCTATATTTGGTAAAAGATAGGCATGTACAGTAATATAAATATAATAAAGCTTGCTTATGAGTTTATTTGCTGATATCTTTTAAAATTTCACTACGTAAATTAAGATCCTGATAACAAAATACGTTTGCGATATGAAGCACACAATCTCAAATAATGGGATCGTTGTCATTTTTATTGGATACTATGCCGTAACTATTATACACTGATATTTTTGCGATTCTTCGGTGCTATTTGATGGGAGAAAAAACACCTATATTTTGGAATTCCTGGCACATCAGAGACGTCTTAGTGTGCGTAACCAATCGCTGGGTGGTCCACGGTCCGAGATTTTGTATTACTTAGGTATATTATTTATTGTATTAATGTTTATATAACATGTATTTAGAACTGATTCTAAAAACAAGACAAACCCATGTATGACATGAAACAACTTTACCTCCTACATGCTATCACCAACTACCACACTACTGGTAACGATCAAAAAAATAAACACAATCACCATACAAGACATAAACTGGGAGAAACAGTTGCACCTAGACCTATCAAATCTATAACAAAGCGATCATACCTTTATTTCGGACGAAAATTATATGTAAATTTACCTGACAATATAAGGAACCTATGCTTTGGAAATAATTAAAAAAAATCAAAAAAATGTACATTTTCTTTAGCAATACCCGACACACATAAACTAATAGTAAATGTAAACATCAAATGATAGTATTTTAATCCTATGCACAATTGCTAAATTAATGACCCTTATAGACCTTTCTTTCATATTCATTCACTCATTTTTCATAGTGTTTAAGGAGTAAATAAATATTATTTCAGCATTCCAATGCAATTTATATTGGAATGTTTTCTCAAAATTCGTTTTGAAATTCACCAGGTAAATGTATCGTGACCATTATTTTCAGAAACGATTAGGAATCGTCATATTAGACAATTATACAGGGTGTCAAAACAAGTCAAAAAGTTCATATGACCCATGGTCCAAAAGTCAATAGATTTTTGTCTAAATGGCTTTGTAGTTTACAAATTTAAGTGCTTTATATCGACCACAATCACCACAATCTTACTAATTTTTATAATCTAACCTAAAACGTTTTTAAATTGGGTAATTAACAAATAAATGACATTAAGTTTTCTAAGTTAAGCCAAAATTTGTAGTCAGTAAGTAAGTTTCATTAAATTAAATATTTAAAACAAAGATGACAACAGCGCGTCGGTCATTCATCACTCTTATCGAACTGGCAATCGATCGCAAACGGTAACAGTAGTTAGTTATTGATCGCCTAAACACCCATTAGCAAGAAATTCTGTAATATCCAAACTTATAGTCAGTAATGCTAAAAAACAGATCATTTCATACAGTCTATAACACTGTGCACAACCAACAGCCGACATACAGTTTCCCATTATTCGACAGGCCGCTGTGCTGCTTAAAATATGTGATGTCCTTGTACCCACTCTACCAAATGGAAAAAAATCACCCCACGTTTGCTTATCATGAGTAAATAATCCGGTACATACCCCTACCTAAATGATGCATTTTGGTCCCCTCAGACCAGGGCTTGGGCTTCACACCGGCGAGTTTCTCCCTGTTAGGCGACAGAACCTGCTCGTGCGCGGATGCTGGTAACGAATTGACCGGCGTACCGGAAGTTTTTCCACTCCAATCGAACTCCGCGTCGTCCACGTACCCCTTTCGTTTAAACAGATTGACAAACAGACTCCTTAAGTACTCGTAATCGGGCGTTTCGAAAAAGTCCAACCGCCTCACGGTCCGTAAGTACGTCGCCATCTCTTCCGGGTAACCGTCGCAAAGCACGTCTATCGCCGTAGCACGCTTAGTGTCGCCGATTTTTTGGTAGCGTTCTTTGAGCGTGTCAGCCTTGAGGCCCTGCCACGGCAGCGAGCCACGGAGGAAGTACATGAACATGTGGCCCAGGGCTTCAAGATCGTCCCTGCGTGACTGCTCCTTACCTGAAAGGAAAAGGGTCAAGTAGCTTTGGTACTTACCACGCATTGAACTCATATTTGAATTGCGCAGACATTGATTTAGTTTTTAAAGGCTTACGTGCAAAAATAAAGGAAAATCTGAAAATGCTGACTCATAAAAAAGTTATTGTACACTCACAGGTGAATAAAAACTTGGAACACATATACAAACACTCAAGGTAGTAACCTTAATTGAAGTTCCAGTACTTTCAACTAAGAAATGATCAGAAACTTGAAAAATGTTAAATAACAAAATGTTCATCTATCAAGGATCGAGAAATAATTGATTAAAAACATTCTGCGACCTTATATGGGGTTGTCCAAAACGGACGCAGGAAAGTAAACTCATATTAAACCAAGAAAGTTGGGTACTTTATTTTGAAGGTTCATTTATACCATTTATGTATGAAAAATAATATCGCTCAAATGTTCACCACGACTGGATTTACAGACGTCCACGCGATGGTAGAAATTTTCAATGACATTTTGCAACATGGTCGGTTCTATGGCATTTATCTCGGCAATGATGTTGTTTTTGAGTTCTTGGAGGGTGGCTGGTTTGTTGACGTAGACTTTGCTTTTCAGATATCCCCATAAAAAGAAGTCCAAGGGAGTCAAATCGCACGATCTTGGTGGCCATGGCACATTTCCTTTGCGCGAAATCACGCGATCACCGAAGGACTGCAATCGATGGATATTGACGTTGGTTGTGTGGCATGTTGCACCGTCCTGTTGGAAATAAACATCGTCCATATCCATTCCTTCAAGTTGCGGCAAAAAATAGTCCTCTATCATCACGTGATATCGCTCAGAATTGACGGTCGCATTTTCGAAAAAGTAAGGTCCGATGATGCCTTTGACCAAAATGCACACCACACAGTCACTTTTTGAGGCTGCATCGACTGCTCTTGATACTCACGGGGATTTTCGTTCGCCCAGATGCGGCAGTTTTGCTTGTTTACCGTCCCATTCAAAGTGAAATGCGCTTCGTCGCTGAACATGATTTTTGATGAAAAATTGGCATCAATTTGGCGGTGTTCAAGGAGCCAATCTGAGAACGTTCGGCGCGAAAAATGGTCGGCCCGACGCAGCTCTTGCGTCAATTGGATCTTATAGGCGTGTACATTCAAATCCTTGTGGAGAATGCGGAGCAAACTGATTCTCGAAATGCCCAATTCTTGGGATCGACGCGTTGTTGATTGTTTCGGATCGTCTCTCACACTCTCCTTCACAACAGCAATATTTTCCGGTGTGCGAACGCTCCTTGGCCGGCCAGATTCTAGCAGATTTGCCACAGAACCTCTTGCCTCGAATTTACGCACAGACGACCGGTGGTTGTTTCGTGTGGGCGGTTGTTGCGACCGAAATGTTCACGAAGCGCGCGAAACGTGTTTTTTATTTTTGCACCATTTTTGCAGTGTTCTTGAATAACTATAATGCGGTCTTCAATCGAATACAACTCCATAGCGATCAATGGTAAACATTCAACTAACAAAATGACATGTCGGTGACAGAAAACAAAGATGGCGTCTATGTCAAATTGACGTTTACTTTCCTGCGTCCCTATTGGACAACCCTTTATGTTATTATAAAAAATCAAAATACGTTTTCAACTTGCTTAACACACGAAAAAATCACACCGTACGAAAAGTAGCAAGCCCAAAATAGTGCACTATCAAAACATCTAAAACAATATGTTCCAAACGTAGAAGTGGACTCAATGGGTACCACAGAGCCCTCATAGCGCACTTGTTCTACCGATTAGATGGATAGATAGAAAGATAGACATTTATTTCCAACAGGTACAAATGCACCCATTAACAGGAAATGCTTGAAACAAACTCTTAAACATTTTGTTTCACATATGCATAGCCTTATACGAAAATGAACAAAAAAATAAAACAAAAAAATAGTGAAAAAGCTACGTATTAAATGTGATCTGCAAAATTGATTTGTAAACGAGCGAGGAGAGAAATTGTCACAGATGTTACCTATTAAGTTTAAAGTTGTTACAAATGATTGAAACAGGTGGCTTGGTTAAAATATTGGTTCTAACCCACTCGAATTTCTACTGCTACGCTGGGGCACGGTAATTGGAATTTTCCTAACAAAAATTCACATATTATATTCCCATGAACCAGTTTATATGAGCTCCTTCCCACTTCAGTTCGCTCTCTTCAAGATTTGTACCAAAATATGCTTTTATAAACTAAACATGACGAAACTATTTACTTCTAAAACAATTTATTTTCTCAAAAACATTTTAGATACACTCTAGTCGTAAAAAATACATATTTGAAATCACTCAACTAATAGAACATCTGAACAAATAAACAATGTGCGAATAACGAAGAAGTTAACAAAGCAACAATTGAAAGATTACTATTGGGTAACATCACTTTTATTTTTCATTACGGCTGAAATTCTTTGGGGCATAGTGTTAACCAAGTTTTGGCAAAAATTTGGTGTAAAACAATCTCATATTTATTGAAGCTTATGTCTCAGTTCGGTGATTGTACGAGCAGGATGTTGTCGTAGAACCTTTTTCATCTCGTACCACAAAGTTTCAATAGGTGACAGATCTGGACTGCTGGAAACCCATTTCAAAAGTGGTACCTTATTTTCTTCCATCCATTTTATAGCCTTTTTTGAGGTATGGCACGCTGCACCATCTTGCTGAAACACAAAATCTTGGCCGGATGTCAAACATTCTTCCATCACTGGTGAAAGCGATTCTTCTAAAATTGCCAAATATTTGTATCCACATTTCCATCAATAAAATGAAGTTTTCCTACTCCTTTTGATGACATACTGCCCCAGACCTTAATGGATGCTGGAAATTTCACTTTTCTCTTCAGACAGTCAACATGGAATGCATCATTTTTTTGCGAATAACTCTACTGCGACTATCACCAACACAAACTTCGAATCGGGCCTCATCACTCCATTGTATTGCACACCATTGTTGAGGTGTCCATTGTCTATATTCTTTAGCCCATCTAAGCCGATTTTTCTTTTGCAGTGGAGTTACTTTAGGATATTTACTTCACTTGTGGACCTCGAAATTCTCATTCCAGCAGCGTCACTCCACAGAGCACTTAATTGTAAATAATTGGCACGCCTGTTTTTCACGATTATTCTTCTTAATGCTCTTCGGTCGGCATTTGTGATATTACTTATTTTCACATATCGCGGCTTAATATTAACTGAACCAGTTACGTTATATCTTCTAACAATATTTCTCACACTGTACCGCGATAAGTCTAACAAAGTTGCAATTTCCGAGTTTGATTTCCCAGAATTAAAAAATTTAATTATCAGTAACCAAATTTTCTCACTAATAACCTTTCCCCTACCCATTTTGAAAACCTTAACTACCCAAAACTATTTTAAACGTATTCTGACAGCTGTGATTAATAAAAACAATTGTCATGGCTTTTATTTATCACAGCCACCTATGCGTTATGGACTTATTTTGCATTGAAATGAAAATAGGTTGATATGCTGTAATTGCAACATGTGTTATTTTTATGCTGCAAATTTAATTAGGGAGTGATAAATTTGGTGTTTTCTACTATATATTATCAAAATATTCATTGTTAATATTTTAAACCTATACATTTTTATTATTTGTGTTTGATAAGAAAAAAACTAAGATTTCAATAGTCGGGCCAACTGAAGTGGGAAGGAGCTCGTACAAAAAGACTGTTGTTAGAAAAATACGGCGTGTTCAGAAAAACAAAATTTGCTTCATTAAGCAGCAGAGAGTAATTAATTAACGAATACCATTAATTCCATTTATGTTTAAATGATACGGATGCATAATAAAGTTATTGTTTGGAACAGTTGGCGTATATGCTGCATTTCTTATTAAAATGCGAAATTTCTAGGAAGTCAATATCAACGAAAGTTACATCGAACAATAATTTTAATCTATTCAAGGCATGTTTATGTAAACAAAATTACTAATCTAGCTTTTAATTTTAAATATACATTACATGATTATTTATAGAACTCATGACAATTACTTATACCCGTTATATCCATAAAAAAATATCATAAAACACGTTAATTCGCAGGCCACTGTGTCATGTCATTGAGATACTCATTATAAAACTTAAATCTACCCAAACAATACTGTTTATTTCGTAACATTCGTAAAATCGTGTACGGTTAACCGACCACGTGTATATTATTTTTTACAGCAAACCAAAAATCTGTGAATCAACGTTTGATACTTCAACTCTAATAAGCTGAAATAAATTATAATTTTTGTACATCAATGGCACAACAATTAATCAATTTTTTAGCGGGAAATTCCGGTCTATAATCGCCTAGATCAATCTTGACAATCTGACGATGTTTGTTTAATTAAAGGCGAAACGTATCCTCCATGTTTCTTGTCAAACGTCAATTGATTGTCCCATTGATGTACGTACTCTCCAAAATGCTGTATTTAGATGTTAACTTACAATTTCCATCGTCAAAGCCATATTGCCGATTAGGATCGCAGTAGTTCCTTTAGAAGTGACGCGGAGAGAAAGTGTTTATTATATATGTATTACTTATTATTTTATATAAAGATCATCACTTAACATCCCTCATGATTATTCCTAAGATTATAAGATTACGTATTCTCAGAATTTCTCAACGACAGCAGTTGTAGATGTGGCAACACTGCGGCCTAAAGACGACAAGTGTGTACAGTTGTGTGCATTTCTTGCAAACAATAATTCATGCAGCAAAATTTTGTAACACTGAGTAGTAATTAGTAAAGGCAATACTCACCTAAATGCGTGTTAATGGACATATACCTAGCGGTACCAGTTAAAGATTTGTGCTCCCTGTATGGTATATGCTTATTAGTCTCTAACTCAATGTACTCCTTGGCAAGGCCAAAATCGATAATATGAATGATCTTCTCTCTCTTAGTACTGCTACGGCCAACCAAAAAATTCTCAGGTTTCACATCTCTGTATATAAGATGCCTAGAATGAACGTACTCTATCCGATGTAGCAGCTGTATGGCTATCATCAGTACAGTTTTGAGCGAAAACTTACGATCGCACAAGTCGAATAGATCTTCCAGGCTTGGACCTACAAGTTATCATCAGCTAATTCCTTGCTATTCACAGAATTAGATCTATTTGTTTTTGAAGGCCAGCCTGTGATTTTCTTATTCGGGACTTGACGTATTCCAATTTGAATGAAGTTTGTATATAAAGACACAGAATCCTGTTGATGCTGGATGCGATAATGTGGCGTGACATTGAAATTGTTTTTTTATAAAATAAAGCTATGGCAAATAGAGGCCACAGAAATCCACAAAATTATTACCTGTCGTACGAATTTACCTCAACGTGCTCCGAAAAGCTGTGAAATTAAATAAACTCATACATTTCCCAGGAGTGGCACTGGTTAGGAATCAAGAGACGTGAAAGTCTTGCAGTTTTTTATGCTTTTGGTAGTAACCATCTTCCAATAGGCATCTTTCTTGAGTATTTCCTACATTATTCAATTAAAATGAAATATCGAAGCAAGCTTCCTTTATATCTTATATCGACATTTTCAAAAAATCAAAACACAGTAAGACAACTCGAAAACCTCGATCTGACACTTAAGCTTCCCATATTTCATTTTGGTTTCAAAACTTTTACATTTTTTACTTTCGATAGATAGATAGGTAGGCACCACGCCTATATTCCACTATCTATTCGAATAATGTTTCTCTATTTGTCCTCCTAGTGCGCGGCGATCGATTGAATTACCCCCCGCTATACACTAAGCTCCCGGCGAATATGTGATAGCTGCTTCATTTTGCACGATGCGTCGTAATGCACACGCACCTGTCCTGTATTGTTCTCGCTGACAAGGAACAAGAACATTAGGACCATAAACTATAAAGGTCCTTTTAGCAACCAAAAGTAATAATGACGTCACGAAAATAAGAAACGGCACAGAAGTGAAACTTTCTTTTATTTGAGGAGCAAGAACGGTATTTTTGTCATGTGGGGTCAGGTAAGGAGTAAGGATGTTTTAACTTTATATTTAGAACCAATATACAGTCTGAACAGACCTAACAGGAGTGGAATAAGCCAGGAAATATTTACATAAAAACTAAAATTGGTCTGAAAAGATTATCCAACCATCGGTAAAATATCATCTAGGACTGTTTTTAATGCAGCTGAAGGAATCATGTCCTGAAAAAGGATCAGTATGGTATTGCTACCGACAAACACTTGGTATACAGAGAAATCCAAATATCACTGACGACGCATTTATCTGTATAATATCCCTATGAAGTACCATGTTTGTTCTCGATAAAATATTACAAAATATACTGTATGTGTTTGTACAATTTCCAATGCAAAATTCACTCTACTATTTCTGGATTCCATTTGTAGCAAACTTCTTACACAAATCTGCCTAAAATTGTCCATAAGTTCTAGTAATTCAATGGGTTCATAATTCATTTTTTTATATGAATTTCCAAGAATAACTAATTGCACAAAAACAATAAGATATGCTTGTCCATTATCTACTATTAATTGTCTTGTAAATACTGATAACATTAACAGTGATTTGATCAATCAGTCATTGATTGTATAATAATGGGATGATTATAAACATATATCTAAAAAATAAAAACTGAAGTTGTGGTAGTCAGTTATTTATACTATATATTCCTACACCCCACAATTACAAGAACAAAAAGCACAACAAAAAATATAAACCAATACCCCAACCAACTCTAATAGATTACACATTATTTAAACTTATAAATTTACTTAGATGCAAACAATATTGATAAGTTATTAAACAACAACAAATCTAATATACTACAGTTGTTATTTCTGTTGAAAGAATAATCACAGGCAGGCACACCTTGCTACACAGACTACTAAAAGCTTCTTACCCAAAAGTTCCATAACTAGGGCATTGTATTTCCCACAGGGCCCAAAGTAATACACATCTGGAATACCTTCATGACTGCCGAGTAGTTTATAAAACCTGTACTCCAAATGAAGCTGTGGTGCTTTGGATTTCATTGGTTCCATCTTAATAGCAACATGCTCATTATTATACAGGTTTTTTCCGAGTCTCAACTCCCCAAAGTTCCCACAACCAATCTTTTTACCTACTCTAAAATTGGGACCAACCATCAGAATGCCGGAGCTTGCAACACTGTGACGATTGTGTTGTTCAGCAGAACCCTGTCGTTTCTGGGATTTCTGTTTATGATCATTCTTATCCATTGTTTGTGGTTTGTACTAGGAAATGCTTAAAATAGGAATAATATCACATTCACAAGTATCACAGTTATTTTATAGGCGGAATACAAATTGCTTCTCATGGCACAAGCTAGGCAAATTCAATAAAATTACATAATTAAAATAAATGAGCAAACATTGTAAACCATAATCAAGGGGCACTATCTAATACTGCTGATAAATAGGCTGCACTTTCCTAGTACCATCCATATCAAGTAAAAGCTATTAGCAGCATCTATTATGACTGATCTGTGGTATAAATGTGGTCCAATATGTTTATTTTTATTGTGCTAGCGACCTAAAATAACGTCAAGCGATTTATAAATAAGGTATTGAAAATTATATAACACGAACCCTTTAAATTTGTTTTAGTTTGTATGCACTGCTATTGTCCAGTCCAAAAATGGTCACCCACATTTTTCTATTCTTGCTGCGATAAACACTCCACTAATATGTATGCTCTCCTCAGATTTATCTACTGTTCATTTTGATTAAAAATATTGATAGGAGTGGTAGATTATCATATTGTTTTGTGCGATTTTGTTCGCTTGATCAACCTTCGACCGCTTTTAGATAACCTCTAAATTTGACAGTTGTGACATTTAACGCCCGGGCGATGGCATAAACAAGATGGAATGAACTTGCAGAGTCACAGACCTCACAACTAACCGCCTAGACAGCCTGTCGTAACAGAAAGGCCCAATAACGTCTTAATCGCCTGCTGTAGATATATGCTAGTTCTATATTCTCTAACAGCATAAATGAACGCAGAAATACATTTCCCAGTTTTCCTGCTCATGTTGATAAGATAAATAGCTTATAAAACGATAAATTTATGAGACTACTGGATTTGAAGAAACTTATTGAAGATATATAGTCTTTTTACGAGTATTCATTACGGTACAATAACAGCTGATTATCTGGTCATATTTCAAAATTCTTATTAAGAAGAATAATCGTGAAAAACAGGCGTGCCAATTATTTACAATTAAGTGCTCTGTGGAGTGACGATGTTGGAAGGCGAATTTCGAGGTCCACAACTCATAGAGAGGCCCACAAACTGGGACTTAGCACTTGCAAGGTAAGTTTTCTTATAAAAAAAGTGAAGTAAAAACCCTAAAGCTGCACAACTTGTTTATAGGCCAAAGAAAAGCCACTATTAACTCCACTGCAAAAGAAAAATCGGCTTAGATGGGCTAAAGAACATAGACAATGGACACCTCAACAATGGTGTGCAATACAATGGAGTGATGAGGCCCGATTCGAAGTTTGTGTTGGTGACAGTTGCAGTAGAGTTATTCGCAAAAAAAATGAATCATTCCATGTTGACGGTCTGAAGAGAAAAGTGAAATTTCCAGCATCCATTATGGTCTGGGGCAGTATGTCATCAAAAGGAGTAGAAAAACTTCATTTCATTGATGGAAATGTGGATACAAACAAATATTTGGCAATTTTAGAAGAATCGCTTTTACCAGTCATGGAAGAATGTTTGACATCCGGAAAGATTTTGTGTTGCAGCAAGATGGTGCAGCGTGCCATACCTCAAAAAAGGCTATAAAATGGATGGAAGAAAATAATGTACCACTTTTGAAATGGGTTTCTAGGAGTCCAGATCTGTCAGCTATTGAAACTTTGTGGCACGAGATGAAAAAGGCTCTACGACAACATCCTGCTCGTACAATCACCGAACTGAGACAAAAGCTTCAACAAATATGGGATTGTTTTACACAAAATTTTCGCCAAAGCTTGGTTAACACTATGCCCCAAATAATTTCAGCCGTAATAAAAAATAAAGGTGATGTTACCCAATGGTAATCTGTCAATTGTTGCTTTGTTAACTTCGCGCATTGTTTATTTGTTCAGATATTCTGTTAGTTATAGGTGTTTTTGAGAAAATAAATTGTTTTAGAAGTAATTAGTTTCGTCATGTTTAGTTTATAAAGGTATATTTTGGTACAAATCTTGAAGTGGGCCAACTGAAGTGGGAAGGGGCTCGTACATATGAAAGGATTAATAGTTTCTTAGAAAATTAGGTACCCTACTTTCAAATGACAACAAGAGGAGATGAGGATTTTTTGCGCTCATTAATTGAGTATAATGATAAATTCAACAATCTGAATATGCCTTAACGATTTTTCAAAATCCAATGAGTACGAAACATGTAACTGTAATTTTAAATTGGTCTTGTTAATGTCATTTGATTGTAGTTGTGGAATGTATGTTTATTCAATCAGGACCACATAAAAATGAATTTTACTACGACCTCTATACTTGGTAGGTAACAAATTACTTACGGTATTTTAAAGCTTGGGACGTTATACAAAACGGAAGCTTGGTTAGTTCAAATTATTAAATTAAGTACCTAGTCACAACAATCTTAATGTGCCCACACATTCTCGGACAAGGTGTGGTACCCAATAAAAACTAGTTGCTCTTGGAGGTAACATTCACATCAGTTTCCTTTTAAGCTGCCACAATTATTATACTCGTTCTGGTGTGTATATCAGATTACCAACCCATTAAATAAACAGATTAAGAGTAGTGTTGCAAATGGAATAAAAAGACAGAAACGAATATGTACAAATTACATACCTAGAAACAACAAAATGGTAGTAATGAATGTCTGCCTGTTTTGTGACTCCAAATTTCTTTTGTCGACTAACACATACTTGTGACGTTATCTAAAGATCTCGTCTTGATAACATCGTTGAAAATAAACAAGATCATATATACTCGTATATGACAGTTTTGTAATATAGTGGTCTAGGCCCACGGACTATAGCTCGTCCCCGTTAAATTAAAATCAAATTTGAATTTCCTTGAAGGTATACAATTTCGACACTGTGACACTACTATTCCGCTATTAGATAACACTGCTAAAGAAGCGTGAATTTGAATCATAAAACCAGTAACGGCTTACAGAGGTCTAGTCAGAATTGGATGTAAGAATCGCATTGACATTGCATCTTATGTCTCTTTACACTGAAGCAGCGCCCAGGCAGAAGACTAAATACCAGAGTACCACGGTGCTCTGAGGAGCTTAAAGACAATTTGTTAATGTGATTTTTGAACTTCCTAGTACTGGGAGAAGCCTCCTCATGAAGATTGTTCCACAGTTTCGATACCCCAGGGACAAGGGAACGGTCGTATCGGCCAGTTATGGGTGTACGAAAGTCGACACTGTTAGATGGGAGGCTGACGTCAGGCTTTGAGGAGCAAAAAATTTAGTCGGGGCGCCAGCACTCCAAATATGTGAGCAGTACTGTGAGGCTGGGTCTTATCTGGGCTTTGTACGGAATGAGGAGGATATGTGGAGAAAAGTACTTCTTAATCCTAAGCAAATACCCTAGTTTTTTCCCAGCAGCCTTCAAAGGAGAGCGAATACAGGGCACACGAAATAGTCGATATTTCTCGTATTTCATACTTATGTTTCCATTAGCTCAAGATATCTCTAAAAAAGTAATTCCGTAAGTTGTTAATGAAATAGAAGGGCTATAAATAGCATTTTATCAGTCGCATAGAGCTATTTTGAATGAAAGAAGTTGAACTATCCCTCCTGCCTTCCCACTACTTGAGATATTGTCCAACGAACTATGAAGTTCACTGATACCTGTAAGTTATAACTGATGCACACAATACTAATAGCTGAGTCGCAGCTGGTAAAAAACTGAACCCTAACCCTTAACAGATATTATTAGGGAGCGATGCTCCAGACAAAAATTATTCAGTCATGTTATATACTAAGTGACATATAAATCTGAACACCCAGTTTAAATGGTTTTATTTTAATAAAAGTTGGTGAATGTATTTATCTTACTGTAAATAACAAGTGAAAAAATTTTCAGCCTTATCAGTTGGACATTCCGGTTTTTGTACTGCTTTTTTTTAATTTACTATATATATATATATATATATATATTTCAGCCGCAGTAAAGAATCAACGTTGGCGGATTTTGGTTCCTGACATCCTTTACGATCGGTTACGATGCCTAGAGTACGGAGACCTGTACGATTTCGTCAACTTAGTGAGTTTGATAGGGGCCGTATAGTGGGACTTCGGGAAGCTGGACTTTCTTTTCGGGCAATTGCAGTTAGAGTGCAAAGAAGTGTAGACACTGTGGTTAGGTGTTGTCAGGCATGGCTTCGAGAAGGCCGTACGCAAAGAGCAAGGGGCACTGGACGCCGCCGTAGAACAACAGACCGTGAAGATCGCCGCCTAAGATTATTGGCCTTAAGGGACCGTTACTCCACTACCAGGTCCATTGCAAATGAATGGTTTGCAGAACACGGAAGACCTATTGGCATGCGAAGTGTTTACCGACGAATGAGAAGTTTTGGCTTGTTTTCATACCGGCCACACTGGGTCCTCCCTTTAACTCGAGAACACCGACGTAATCGCCTTGAGTGGTGCAGACAACTGTCACTCTGGGATCAGGAATGGAACAGTATTGTCTTTAGTGACGAGTCTCGATTTTGTTTAGGCATGCACGATGGTCGTGTCAGGGTTAGAAGGCGACGTGGTGAAAGGAGGAATCCACAGTTTTTTGTTGAAAGACATGTTCATCACACTGTTGGAGTTATGGTTTGGGGTGCTATAGCTTATGGTTCCAGGTCACCTTTAATCTTTATCAGAGGTAACATGAACGCGCAGCGTTATATCCACGAAGTTCTAGAACCCCATCTTTTACCCTATCTTGACACCCTGGCAGATCCAACTTTCCAACAAGATAATGCCCGACCACATGTTGCAAGAGTCACAATAGACTTCTTTCAACATAATGATGTCACATTGTTACCATGGCCACCAAGATCTCCCGACTTATCCCCAATTGAGCACGTGTGGGATATGATGGGTAGGAGATTGCTCAATTTGCAACGTCCTCCTCAGACTCTAGAAGCACTTCGAGAGGAGTTTGTGGTTGCCTGGAATGAGATACCACAGGAGGACATTGACCACCTGATCAAAAGCACGCCTAGGCGCGTTGGAGAATGCGTAGCACATCAGGGTGCATCCACACATTATTAAAGGTCAAAGGGCTTTAAAGCAGTGCAATCATTTTGAAATTTTTATCATTTACTTATTATGCTTCCTTAAATACTTATACAAACTTGTATTAAAATAAAACCATTTAAACTGGGTGTTCGGATTTATATGCGACTTAGTATATTTGCAATACTTGCTAAACCCAAACCGGAAGTGAGAATCTGTTCTGGCCCGGCCCACATTTCAGCCGTACCAGTACGTCAAACAGAAGGCGAACTACTTTACCGTCTTTTATCTCAAGAAACAATAGGTCTACGATTACGTGTGAGATACGGACGTACATAAAACATATTGAAAACTCGAATACATATCCTCCCACATACTTGCAACATTTTTCAAATCGGCCTCGCCTGACGCAAGAACAAAAAACATAAAAAACGCAGATTAATTCTCGATAAACAAAGAAAGCCTGAACGCATGCATGCCGTTGGCATTTCAAAGGCAGTTCTCAAGGAAACTTACTTTTATATTATACTGGACCCCGCCCAGATAACGAACCGGCATTACCTGGTACTGCTTATTTGCTCTGATACGTATTTTTTTTATCCAGTC